AAGCGGTGATATAAACCTTAATTAAATGGTATATGTAATAAGTTGTTTACAAACATATCCTAGTTAAGTGCACGAGGTCAGGAAATATAGTTCACGGAATGCCACGAACACAAATATGCTACGGAGATCGAATACAATTGGCTTAGGCGAGGTGTGCAAGTTAATGGAATAGAGTACTGGTAGACATTTATACGAGAAAGAAAAGCATTAAGGCAAAATTGAAAACCCACCACCTGAAATAAAGAGACTTAGCATGCAAGCACGCGGTCAGTGAATCGAATTCAGCGTGCTTACAAACGCTGCGCCGGCTCGCCGTAATTCTCTGCAGGACCCGTCGTCGCCTCTGTAGTGGCCCCAAAGGACCTAGCTCATGGCCCACTAGACATTTATATGAGAAAGAAAGGCATTAGGAGAGAATCGCAAACCCACCACCTGAAATAAAGAGACTTAGCATGCAAGCATGCGGTTAGTAAATCGAATTCAGCGTGCCTACAAACGCTGCGCCGGTGCTGCCTACGTTCACTGCTGGTCCCGTCGGCGCTTCGGCAGTGGTCCCGATTGACCTCTCTCATGGCTCACTAGGCCTGCCTGACTAAGGCACTCGCGACCGCATGTTCTACAGCACCATGCGCTCGATGTCGATGGAGTACAATTCATTGGTGCTTGCCGCTTCTTCTCTGCATGCATGAGGGCTTTCTCCCGCACTTCAGCAACTGCCTTCGTGATTAGATCGCGCCATGCACCACGATCAACCGCCTTCGATTCCCATGATCTGCAATCAAGATTAGAACGTGAGCGGCTCACTTTAATCATGTCATGGTAACGTAACTTTGGTTTCCCAGCATGCCGTTTCCCTATACTCAGCTGACCGTATAAAAGTTGTTCCGGTATCCGCGTCAAATCCATACGGCTCACATGACCGAGCCATCTCAGATGTCTCAGTAAAAGTATGCAGTCCACTGCATACATCCCACTTTGTCGCAACACTTCCGTGTCTGCAACTCTGTCGCCCCAACCGATCCGCAAAATTCGTCGCAGACACTGCTGATGGAACCGCTCGAGATATCGCACATCCCGACGGTACATCGTCCACGTTTCACTGCCGTATAGAAGAACGGACAGTACCATGGATTTGTACACCATCAGCTTCGTGCCAATGGTAAGCTGATGGTTGTTCCACACTCGGTACTCAAGCTTCCCGAATGCCGCTGCTGCCTTCGACACGCGAATACGCAACTCAACTTGTAGCTTCTGATCAGTCGACATCACACTCCCAAGTTAAAAGAAGTGGGAGGTGGTTTCCAATACTTCAGCACCAATGCTGATTCGGGGCAATATTGAAGATTGCAACTCCGGTGAAGGCTGAAAGAGAGACAGTTTTGCTTGTGTTGATGGTGAGCCCGAATTTGGCCGCTGTCGAAGCCAGAGCACTAGTCATATGCTGCAACTCATCCGCGCTGTGTGAAAACAACGCACAGTCGTCAGCAAACAGCAACATACGGATAGTTGTCTCACAGACTAGAGTTCTCGCACCGAAACGACGGATGTTCAGCGACCCACCATCAATACGGTGCTCCACATGAACACCGTAAGCACAAGCGGCATCAAAAGCACGGCATCATTGCATGAAGATATATATTAAACAGGGCAGGAGCTAAGACACAGCCTTTCTTCACACCAGTGATAACTGCAAAGTCATCCGAGGTCTCTCCACTCAGCTGCAGCCTCGCTCGCTTACCACTGTGCAGGCATTCAATTAAACTTACAAATTTACGCGGGCCACCAAACTTACCCAACATCAGCCACAATGCCTCGCGGTTCACCGTATCAAATGCTTTGGTGAAATCAACAAAAATCGGGTATAACGGCTGATGTCGTTCTCTGCACTTATCCTGCAATTGACGAGCCGCAAACACCATATCTATAGTGCTGCGACCCGAACGGAATCCACACTGCTCTTCCGCCACGTTCGGTTCCACAACCTGACTGACGAGGCGGTTGAGCAGGATTCGGGCAATCAGCTTGCCCACACAACTCAGCAACTTGATGCCACGATAATTCGTGCAACATTGCTTGCTACCTTTGCCCTTGTACAGTGGTAGCACAAGGGCATCCTTCAGCTCAGGAGGCACCTCCTCCTCAATCTATACACGTTGCACCAAGTGGTGCAGCGCAGTCAACAACGCGGGTCCACCGTGTTTCAATACTTCAGGCGGGATCCCGTCGGCTCCGGCACATTTGCCGTTTCGCAGCTGAGCAAGTGCTTTCTGCGTCTCATCCAGTGTCGGCGTATCCGCAGATCCGCCTTCACATCGTGCTGCTTCAGGCCGTTCAATGTAGGCCAGTCGATCTCTGAACGGTTGTTCAAGAGACAGTCAAAGTGTTTCCGCCAGATCTGCATTATGTCTGCAGTCTGGGTGCAGGTAGTGCCTGATCTACCATCGATCAGTGTCCTCAGCGGCTCCGATCTCGGTCCATACACCGCCTTCAAGGAGTCAGAGAATTCCTTGTGTTGGCGGCGTTCGACGTAGCATTCCATCTGTTTCGCCTTCTCCGCCCACCATGCATTTTTAATGCGACGGAGCTCTCGGGTCAGTCGCCGTCGAGGTTTGCGAAACTGACTGCTCTTCCCCAAGTCACTGGGGTCTGCCACATGTGCAGCAAATGCTGCATTCTTCTCTGTCACCAATGCGCCAATCGTCACATTGTTGTCATCAAACCAATCAGGCCGCTTACAGTTTGCGCGCCCGATGGTCTCCTCGGCAGCAGCTGTCACCTGGTTGCGAATGTGGTGCCACAGGTCGCCCACTGTGGATATGCATTCCACATCACACAGGCGTGCAGCCATCGCCTTCTCCAGCTCAGTACGTTTCGCCACAGTACCGAGGGAGAGAATGTTAACTTTACGCCGATTCACAGCGGGAGTGCAATACATCGATTTACGAAAATATATGTACAGTTTGGTCCGAACCAATTTGTGATCAGTGCCACACTCAGCTCCACGCAGTACACGTGGCATGCCCACTTCACGCATATCACGCTGACGTACGATGACATAGTCGAGCAGGTGAGTGTGACCACTCCGTGGGTGCGTCCAAGTTGCTATATCACTCGCACTCAGTGCAAACCGAGTGTTTGTGATCGTCAGGCCGTGAGTGGCACACAGTGAGAGCAGCCTGTCACCGTTCGCATTCGCTGAACCAATGCCATGCGGACCGATAACATCTGTCCACACTGATGCATCACGCCCAAAGCGCGCGTTGAAATCACCCATCAGAAATAGTCGGTCGCTCCTCTGCACAGACCGTATCACGGAGGATAGCTGAGTGTAGAATTGATCACGCGTGTCATCAGGATAACACATGGTCGGACCGTACGTGCTTATAAAAGCAGCAAACTTACCTCTTCCGAGTCGTAGGCGAACAATCATCAGTCGCGCGCTGATGCCCGTTGGTTCACCCACCAGCAGGCCATGGAGGCGATCGGATATTGCAAATCCGACCCCATGATCACGTGGTGCTGAGGCGGCGTTGCCCACCCAGTAGAATGTGTAGCCAGCACCTGCTTCATGTAACTTACCTTGCTCAGCGAGCCGAGTTTCACTGAGCGCCGCAATATCGATGTGGTAGCGCGCCAGCTCCATTGCGACCAGTGCAGTGCGTCGCTCCGAGCGCTCGCTCGAGTTCCGGTCCAGTAGTGTGCGCACGTTCCAGCACCCGATGCTGAGTGCTTTGCGCGCAGGCATACGATTGCATTGGTGGGTAATCGCACGCGAGGTGGTCGTTGGGCTTCGGAGGTTTGCTTGAGGGACTCCACCCGGAGCCTTTGGCTCAATAGCCTGACCCACAAGGCAGTGGGTGGTTTGGAGGTTTGCTTGAGGGACTCCACCCGGAGCCTTTGGCTCAATAGCCTGACCCACAAGGCAGTGAAGAGCAGATCCAGCTCGGGAATGTGATTGCAGAGACAGATTGGGATCTGCTTGACGGCCGTCACACGCAGCCTTTGAGGTTCTGGAACAATTATCATATGTTTTGCGACCGTAATTGGATACGCACCTGCGACCACGGCCAGACGCAGGTGGGTTTTTTGGCGGGTTTGCACCAATTTGACTAGGGGCTGCCTGGCTTGAGGCGGGCAGTAGCAAACCATTGAACACCCGGAGGTGTCCTCCCACCGTCAGAGACAATGCGTGGCACTCGTGCTCTACGCCAATCGAGCTTTGAGAATATCACCCGTAAACCTGTTGTCTCCCATGGCTAGGTTTTACGGGAAGAGGGCCATCGACCACTTCCTAACCTCCGGAGAGGATGGACTAGGATACTGCCAGGGCGCCCAATCCTGACAGGAGAACGACTCGGGTCCTCAGCCAAAGCCTTCGATCAAATGTACACCCGCAAGGCAGCGGGTCTAGCACATGGTCAGTTAGCTGACTCATGCGGATTGGTGTCCTGGATCTTAGCAGGGAGAAGGGCGAAACCCAACTCCCACCCAGCGGTCGCCACGAGGAGGCGCCCAGGACATGAGACTATGGCGCAACAGTAGCAGCAGTGGGTAGACCATCTGTCAGCATCTAGCCACCACCAGCCTCAGCGCACCATAGGCTCTCTCGCCATATATATATATATATATATATATATATATATATATATATATATATATATATATATATATATATATATATATATATATATATATATATAATTGCAACAGTCTATGAATAGACCTAGTGCCATCAGAAACAATGTAACACAAATGAAGTACTGAAGTTGTAAAAGAAAGCAGAACACAACACATTAAAGTCCATGGTTTCGTCAGAGGGCGAGATACTACCCGGTTGCCCAAGCCGAAGTAGGGTGTTGACTTAGGGGACACCACCCCGAGCCTTTGGCTGAATAGCCTTCCCGCAAGGCAGCGGAGCGAATTCAGGGAATCGCGCCCATTGGGAGCCGATGACTGATTGCTCAGTTCATACGCCTTTCGTTTGTTCCTTTGTCAAACAGGGACCCAATGCACGCACGCCAACCCTCGGACTCCTGCGACGTGTGTTGTTTGCGCGCCAGGGGTGTGGATGGAAGAAGAGGAGGGGTGGCCAAGCAATGACTTGGTGGAAAGATTACAAGGCCCTCACTTCAAAGCTTGCCTCGGTTGGAACGTCTCGACTCCCTGGTTCGGGTCCGAAAGGCGATTAACATGTTTGGTTGGATACACTTGCTGATATGGCTGGTAGCCGACCTCATTGGCGTTCGTGCTGTGAGTTTCTTTGTCCCACCCCATCCCTCTTAGCTCCCCCTCCAGCCACGATCTCACTATTTAGCCTTATATACTTTTGCATAGTAATTTTGCTGCATAGTAGTCGGCTGGTAGCTTACCGGAACGATGCCCATTCGTTACCGGTAGTTCAGCTGGCTTGCATCTGTTGCATTCCCCCGTTTTTTTTCTTTTATGTATTGCGACATAGTAGCTGTGTTTCCCATCTCTAGCTTACGTGTGTACTGATGATTTCTTTTAGAGGTGGAGACGACTTATTCACTGAGTTGCATCATTTTCGAGTTTAAGTGGCGTGAGGATCCTGTGCACACTGACGAAAGGCAAGGAGCGACAATAGTACGTACTTCGTTTGGTGAAAAATTTCAAGACCACTCCTAAGCTACTTTTCTCGTATGTAAACATGAGTATAACAGTTAGATATGGGATCTTGTTCCCGATGGCTGAACCACGTGTTGTGCATGCCAGCCCATCGACTACCGCGGCGTGCGTTCTTTGTGCGCCCGGGTTCTGGATGGAATAGAAGGAGTAGAGACCAAACATTGACTTGGTAGTGATGAATAAAAACCCTCACTTTGAAGTTGGCATCGATTGGTACATCCCGACTGCACGGCTGGGGTCCGAAGGACGTTGAACATGTTTGGTTGGGCACACTCGCTTACATGGCTAGGAGCCGGCCCCAGTGGCCTCTGTGCTGTGAGTTCCTTCGTCCATTTTCTTTAGATTCCCCTTCCAATCACGATCTCATAGCAAATTAATGATATGATATTTATCCTTATATTAGTCAATTTTTTGAATTTTTGTAGTATCATTTTAGTATCTTATATTTTTGTATTGCGGCGCATTAGCGGAGGCGTGTTTCTCACTCTCAGCTAACGTGTATTGTTTGGTGATGATGGGATCTTGTTATGTGTTCTAGCAAGGAGGAAAGAAGGAAGGAGGAGGAAGATGCCAAAGCTTGTCTCCGGACCTTGCAGTATTCCTCCGTTTTTCCACCGAAACTCCATTGTCCAGTGACTGCCATCATACCCCTCTACAGTTGAGCATATAAAGATCAGTGACGACTTAGTTATGAAATTGCTTCTTGAATTAAGTCCGAACTATCCACTGGGTCTCAATGATTTGCACCCTTCGTTCCCCAAGACGGTGGCCTAGCACATTGCTTCTCCCGTTTGTTATGTTTTACTGCGCTCCAAAGATGCTGGACTTCCACCGATGACTTTAAACTGGACACTGTGAGACCAATAAACAAGGGAGATCATCAGAACCATACAAACTACCGGTTGATCTGTCTGACATCGGTACTTTTTAAGGGCATGATAAGAATTCTTAAGCGATCTCTAAATCTTCAACCGAAGAACTTGCATATCCTCTCATGCGCTCAGCATGGTTTTCGGAAGACAATTTCCCGTATCTAACATACTTATTGTCAGAGGAAAAGAAAAGAAAAGAAAGGCATCAGCAGTGCACCGGTACGCAGCTGCGACGTTTCCCTGCCGCACAGCCACCACCGGTCACACGTGCCCTAAGCTACTGCGTGGGTCGTCTTGCTCCTACGCCGGCTCGAACTCGCGCCGTCAGATTACAAGACAAGCTTCTTACCTTTAAGCTAGAAGCCGGCTAGGGGAAATGAACGACATTATATACAGAGAGACCATGGGCGGCTTGCGCTGCACCACCCACAGCTCTATCCACACACCCCATTTCTAGTGTGAATCCGAAGGAATAAGACCAGTAGGCATGTGGATGGAGCTACCTTTCATCAACAGAGCCGGCCCACACTTCTTCACAGGCAAGCATTATCACGCTATATTTTGGAATCAGGCGCACACACAGCGGTGGCTGAACCGTATTCCGCTTCACACTGAGTACATGGAACAACTCTTCGAGCCTAGCACGGCCACGAGGACCGTGCACTTCGTCCCCACCAGCAACGACCAACTGTCTCCTGGAGCCAGTATAGACGAGGTAGTGGGTACTAGACAGATAGACACCTTGGCAACATGCACATCAAGCGTAGCCAGGCTAGGGATGTCATGCGACAGCCAATCACATGAAATGAAATGTCATATAAACTAGATCGAATACACCGTACGGATATGCCGCTAACTTAGCGTATGAAATAAATGGATTATCAAAATAGCCGTGATAGATTCAGGATGACAGAAAAATGGATCAAGATAAATATGTAAGAAGAAAAAATAAGCGAAGTTACCCACCTTTAGTTTAAGCGAAATGTGCAGTGTAATAGATTATTCGGGTGCACGTTAAAATGGGGTAAGTAAATAACACTAAGACAAGCTAGCAAACCAACTACCTGAAATAAGGAAATTTAGCACACAAACACGCGGTTGGTAAATCGAATGCAGCGTACCTACCAATGCTGCGCCGGTTCTGCCTACTTTTTAAGCAGGACTCGTCTTCGTTTCGATGCGGGACCCCAGTGGCCTCGCTCACGGATCACTAAACCTGCTTGACTTAAGCATTCGCGACCGCACATGCTACAGCACCATGCACTCGAAGTGGATGAAGTACAGCCCATCGGCGCGTGTCGCTTCCGCACCTGCCGCTTCTTCTCCACATGCACGAGGGCTTTCGTTTACAGCTTGGCAATGGCTCTCGTGATCAGATCGTGCCATGCACGCCGATCAACCGCTTTCGGTTCTCATGACCTGCAGTCAAGGTTAGAACGTGATAGGTTCACTTTGATCACATCCTGGTATCATAACTTCGGTTTTCCCACGTGCCGTTTCCCCGCACTCAGACGGCCACAAAACAGCGATTTCGGCAACCGAATCGAATTCATGCGACGAATATGGCCGAGCCACCTCAGGTGCCTCAGCAGAAGTATACAGTCCACTGCATACATGCCACTGCGTCGGAGCACCGTGTCTGCAACTCGGTCACTCCAGCCGATGCGCATAATACGGCGCATACACTGCTGATGGAAGCGCTCCAGGTATCTGACATCCTTCCGATAAAGCGTCTAGGTTTCGCTGTCGTATAGAACAGACAGCACCATAGACCTATATACCAGCAGCTTCGTTCCACATGCGAGTTGATGGTTGTTCCACACACACCATTCTAGCTTGCCAAAAGCAGCAGCTGCCTTCGATACGCTGCTGCGCAGCTTGCTCATCATCTGGTCGGCTGTTATTACGCTACCAAGGTAGTAAAATCTCCAAGTGGTTTCCAACACTTCGTCGGTAATGTGGATTTGGCGCAGGCATCATCATCGCAACATTATACACGTTAGCTAGAGGTAGGAAACACCTCAGCTATTGTTCCACAATACATAAAAGAAAAAAGGGGGAAAGCAATAGGTGCAAGCCAGCTGAGCTACCGGTAACGGATGTGCATCGTTCCGGTAAGCTACCAGGCGGCTACTATGCAGCAAAAGATTACTATCCAAAATTAAATAAGGCTAAATAGTGTGATCGTAGCTGGAGGGGGGAGACTAAGAGGGATGGGGTGGGACAAAGAAACTCAGCACGAACGCCTCTGAGGTCGGCTCCCAACCATATCTGTTACGCAGAGTCAGCGTTTAGGCCCAGAGCAGTGCCACAACAGTGGCTCGATCCACAATTTGAGATCGAACGCGAATATAGGTCGAAATCCGAATCTGTGAGGAATCAACGGCAAGTCGGCCCATGAACTTGGACTGTTTGTGTTGTGTTTATTAATGTTAATTAACATCTCCAATCTGGTTGTGTTAGTGGTTTCCTACAACCTATTTATTGCATCATACTCTCATACAATGAGAATCAGAATCCGGATCCCTCGGACCGGCTGGTCTTGACGTTTTCATTCCGTGTCGGGTTGAACTGTTGGGGACGGTACAGCCGCTTCAGGCAGTTATCCGTCAAGTCAACGAAAACCACAACACATTTCTGGCAACGGTCAGCCACACGGTAGCAGCAGGTTAGCCGCACAATCAGCGGCACCACAACAGTATCAGCAAGTGTATCCAACCAAACGTGTTCATCGTCTTTCCGACCCCAACCAGGGAGCCGAGACGTTCCAACCGAGGCCAGCTTCGAAGTGAGGGCCTTCATTCCTCTCGACCAAGTCATCGCTTGGCCACCCCTCCTCTTCTTCCATCCACACTCCTGGCGCGCAAACAGCGGAAGTCGCAGGAGTCGGTGGGCTGATATGCGTAAGACCTGACCGAGCCATCGGAGCGTGGTGTGTGAAATAACGGTGCTGAGCGGTTCATTTCCTTTTCCTGTGTCGTAAACAAGGCGTTGAACACGCTCGTTGCTTACTCCGTGTTCCCAACAGATGTGAACTAAATTGCGAAGGCATCAATGGTCGGACGTAACTAGCCTCTTTAGGTCCGTTGATCTAAGAGGCCAGGTTTCACAACTGTACCGTAGGGCCGAACGTACCGCTGCATTGTACACCCTACCTTCATGGCGAGTGTGGTGTCGCGACGGCGCCACAAGTAGCGAAGGTTAGCGAAAGCGCTTCAAGCTTTTGCTATACGGTTCGTGATCTAATTTTCAATCCCACGAGCGCTGATACAACTTCCCAGGTAGTTGGATTTTTGAAGGACTTCTAGCTGATCCCCACCAAGGGTCAGCGTAGGATTCGGTCCACGCCAATCTTGGAGGAACGCTTTGCACTTCGAGGGTACAAAGCAAAGCCCGAAGTGGCGAACAGCCAGTGCTAATCTGTCCAGTGCAGCTTGGCACGTTTGTGAGCTGTCACAGATTAGGGCAATATCGTCAGTACACAACAAGTCAAGAAGTCGTTCTCCTGGGAGCAGATCCACACCTTCTAAGTCATATCCTGTGAACGCGCTTTCCGAAGAGGAAAGGTGACAACGGGCATCTTGTCTCAAACCGCTGGTGATAGTAAAGGGCGACGCCAGTTTGCCGTAAGCCCTCACTCTGCCTTATCTACGTGTGTACAACGCACGGATAATATTTACATATTTTTCAGGCACATCTTTCCTGAATAGACAATCCCAAAGTAGATTTCTA